GGGGGCTCCCAGACTGTGAGAGGGTACAGGCCGGGCTAAGGGACCCCCCCCCCAGTGCACGAATTTCATGCACCAGACCTCTAGTGTTTATATATTTTAATAATTATTTTCTTAACAGCTTTATTGATATATAATTCACGTACCATACAATCTACCCATTTAAAGTGTGCAATTCACTGTTTTCCGGTATGCTCACATGGCTGTGCAGCCATCAATACAATCTAATTTCAGAACATTTTTTACCCCCCATCCCCAAAAGCCCATCCCCATTAGCAGTCACCCTTCCTTCCTTCCTGCCCCTGGGCCCTGGAAACAATAAACCTACTTTCTGTCTCTATGGATTTGCATATTCTAGGCATTTCAGACCAATGGAATCCTAGAACATGTGGCCTTTTGTGTCTGGCTTCTTTCATGTCACATAATGTTTTCAAAGTTAATTCATGTTGTAGCATGTGTCATTACTTTATTCCTTTTTATTGCCAAATAATACCCCTTTAAATGCCTATATCATATTTTGCTTTCTCAATAATCAATTGATGGATATTTTGTTGGTTTTACTTTTTTGGTAATTATGAACAATGCTGCTATGAACATTCTTGTACTATTTTTGCTTTGGCGTACATTTATCTTGAATAGATAACTAGGAGTAGAATTGGTAAGTCTATATTTAATTTTAAAGATCTTTTAAAAACTGTTTGTATATTGTCCTAGCCAGTTTTGCTCAGTGGGTAGAGCATCGGCCTGTGGACTGAAGGGTCCCAGGTTTTTTTGTTTTGTTTTGTTTGTTTGTTTTTTATTAGGGGAGAGCATGAACGCAGTCCAGGTTTAATTCCATTCAAGGGCACATGCCCTGGGTTGCGGGTTCAACTCCCAGTAGGGGATATGCAGGAGGCAGCCCATCAATGATTCTCTCTCATCATTGATGTTTCTATCTCTCTCTCCCTCTCACTTCCTCTCTGAAACCAATAAAAATATATATTTTTTAAAAATCTCTGTTTAAAGAAAATGTTTGTATTGATTTTAGAGAGGATGCTCTAAGGAAAGAAAAAGAAACAAGAAATATAAAGATTGAAAAGGAAGAGATGAATTTGCCATTATTTTATCTACTTAGAAAAACCAACAGAACCAACAGGATATTAGCACTAATAAAGTTCAACAAGATTGCCGGGTTCAAGATAAACTTTTAAAAATCTAATAGCACATCTTTGGGATGATGGCCTGCGAGACGGGAGACGAATGGGAATGGGATAGAAGCAAATGGAGGGCAGGTGGGAGCGAGGCCAACAGCCGGCCCCGTGTGTACCAAGACGCTGTGCCACGAACTGACAGAACTGAGTGTATGTTTAAGTCTCTGCATCGGCGTAAAAAAAAAAAAAAAGGAAGGAGAAAACGCTTGCTGCGCATCTTTCAGTCTCCTTTCTCGATGTTCACGTAAGTGCGTCAACCTTCACACAGCTTTGTTTTTGGTGTCTTTCATCCTGGCTGGATCTTATTATACCCGTTGGTTGACAAATAAGTTTTTTCACTTCATTGTGCAGCTCGGAGAGCTTTCCATGTCATTTTACAGAGGGCTGTCGTATTCTTCCTGTTACTGATGGATATTCAGTCAATTTTACTTGTCTTCTCTTTTCCGTTCTCTCTGGTCAGCTGGGTGTCTGCCTCGCTGTACCTACAGTCGCCTTTGTTTCTCTGTCCTCTCTGTACCTTCCCTTTACTTACTGGGTCTCCCCTGGAGTTCAAGATTGAGGGACAAGGGACATGCCAGACGATTCTGCTGCAGGCAGAGGTTGCAACTTGAGGTCAGGCAGGGGCTACTGTGGCAGATTTGCTATTTCTTCAGTGGCCTGCTCCTAAGTAGCTGTATGGAGGATACAACGCCACTCAGCAAACATCCTGGTCCTTGCCTTCATATCTCTCCCGTCTGGCTTGGGGACAGACAGGTGAGTAACTCAGCTCCGGCAGAACAGTATGGGGTGAGGGCAGTCTTCTAAGTCCACTAACTGCCTGGGTTTCCATACCCGCATCACTTACTAGATGTTTGACGCTGGGCAAGTTATTTCACCTCCTGACACTCAGTTTTCCCATCTGTAAAATGAGGATGTGAGAGTCTATTTTCTTATAAGATTGAAAGAAAGATAATACACTTAACGTGCTTAGCATACTGCCTGGCAGTGATTTGAGGACTTTGAACTGTTAGGAAGCCAGCCAGGGTGTGGTCAAGCATAAACAGAGCCGCAGTGAAACCGCGAGGCCTGGGCCCCGGGTTCCGGGCCTTCCCAGAAGAAGGCACAACCTGCAGATGGGCAGCCTTCCCCTGGCAGAGTGGGAGCAGGCGTTCCAGGGGACAGAGAGGTACAAGGAAAAGCACTGGGTTGAAAACCTGAGGCACGCATGGGGAGTGAAAGTCCTTCTAAGGATGCGTGCAGAGAAGAAGGAGGTTCAGGGCCCCTCCATGAACTCGAACCCCAAAGCGAAAGCCGCAGGTCTATCATAAGACTGCTGTCAGGGTCAGGCAAGGCTCCTAGAAGGAAGCTCCCTTCCCACCACCCTCCTGCCTTCTTCAGCAGGGCCTCTCCCAGGGCTTGGTCACTCCCAGCATGCAGCACCCCCACCACCGCTGGCTGGGAGGCAAGCGGGAGGTTTTTCGCGGGGGCTGTGCCGGTGGGCGGTTTTCCCAGAGCACGAAGCGAGGCAGGACTGCGTTGGCGCCAGCTCCCTCAGATACAGACACTGCTGGCCAGATGACCAGCCTGCCCGGGTAGCTGGAGCCCGAGGGCTCCCTCAGGCACTGTGTTCCTGTCCTGGGAGCTGTGACACCAAATCCCTAGGTGTGGCATGTCACAGAGAAAGGCCAGAGGGGCACTGGCCACGCCGGGAGTGGGGCAGAGCCCGGCGAAGGCCAGGCCAAGGCTGATAGCAGGCACCCACAGCCGGAGGGGCCGCCTGAGCAGGACCAGGCAGGACCTGTGGGAAGGGACCGGCTGGAGCAACCTGAGGTGGAGCAGAGCTGCCCCTGCCCCCAGAGGGACCGGCATCGGGAGCCTGGCTGGTGTCAGGGTAAGGAAATAGGACCCTGCAGAGGGAGCTGGGGAGGCAGGGGTTGGAGGGGTTGAGAGAGGTCACCTCCGATGGCAGAGCATCAGTCAGTGTTACCATCCCTGCCCTAAATAGGGGACTCTGGCCCCTTTGACTCTGAGGCTCCATGCTTTGTGGTTGGATAAGCTGAGAGTGTGGCTAAGAGACCTGGCCCAACGCACTTCTCTCCAGGACACTAAGCCCGGAGGAGTGATGTGAATTTCCCAAGGCCCCAGGGCAACAGTCAGCAACCGCAGGGCCAGGACTTTAGCCTGTGATTTGAGCCCAGTCTGGTGTCATTTCCTCTTTACCACAGCTGCCTCTTCTTCTCAGATGACCCTGGGCCACGGGTCATCTCTACCGAGCAGGACATGGCTCTGTGCTCCCTGTGGCCCAGGGCGCCTGATCAGCAGGATTCAGACCTGGGTGTGGATGGAAGGAGGGCTAGGACGAGGCACCCGGGAGAATTAGAAAGAGTTCAGGATCTCAGGTTCTGAGCCAGCTTTGCCCTCCTGTTCCATCGGACACCAGGCGAGGCCTTCTCTCTATTCCCTCAGCTGTAACGCGGGGCCGGGCCAAGAACAGGAGTCCCTGTTGGGGTGATGTCGTTGGTCCCTGCTGTTCAGAGTGCTACCACTCTGACGGAAGACCTCACACTAGAATGCTCTTAGAAGCTGGGGCCTGGGGGTGGGGGTGAGGGGGTCCGGTCAGACTCACTCACCGCTTCTCTGTGCAGAGTGAGGTCAGTCCTGAGAACGCCGCGCGGGAGCGGAGCCGGGTGAGGACACTGCGCCAGGCCTTCCTGGCCCTGCAGGCCGCTCTGCCGGCCGTGCCCGCGGGCACCAAGCTCTCCAAGTTGGATGTGCTGGTGCTGGCCACCAGCTACATAGCCCACCTCACCCGCACACTCGGCCACGAGTTGCCTGGCCCCGCCTGGCCACCCTTCCTGTGTGGACTCTGCTTCCTGCACCCTCTCAAGGTAGGCCACGGGGCCAGGGCCTTGGGGGAGGGGGCTTGGGGTAGAGGAATATTGAACTCGGGTCCCGACCTGCAGTGGGGAGTGGTGATTAGAAATGACTTTATGAGAATGTGGTTCCAGGGACATTCATGGAGGCCCCAAGACTGGGGGGTGCCTAGTGTCAGGGGAGAAAAAGGACCAGGTTCCAGGCTGGTGCCTGGGAAAGGAAAC